TCCAACACCTACCAATGTGGTTTTCTTAGCTAATCTTTCAAATGTTTTTTGAAATTCTAACTATACCATGTCTACTTCCTTTCCATCATCTAGATAACAAGTAACATCCTCAAAAAATAAAAAAGGATTAGCAAGGCAAGATTTCCATATTGGCTTTCATCCATGATACCATATTTCTTTAAATGATTTGCAAAGCTTCTTTTATTAGTTGTGGAATTTTTGCACTACAGAAGTAACAGTAACTGAACTATAATATCCAGGGCAACTCTTATCAGCCTTTAAAAATTGTCATTCATCCACTGTCTAATGACCTTTGAAAAAGGAAAGATAGAGGCTTGCACATGTGATCTTTGACCTCCTTTAAGCCCCTATGGATAACCTTATCTTACTCTGATGATTTATCGACTTTTAGTCTCTCAATTTTCCTACTTACTACAAAGGGATTAATATCTACATGATTCAGATCATTTCCAATAAAATGCTCAGGGTTCGGAATATTTTTCTTATATTATCTTGTAAAAACAGAAGAAAGCGTTTAAAAGCTTTGTCTCAGTCTTCAACAAAAACCTTATCATAAGCATTCTTTTAAGGGCTAAATCTCTATTTTAACATTTTGCCTTATTTAACATACAAAAACTATTTGCTGTTAGTTTAAACATTATTAGACACTAATTTCTATTGAACCTTTTTGGATTTTCTAATTTTTTTTTTTTAAACCAAATCTTTAGCTTTTCTATATTTGTGTAAATTTTTCAATTTATCTGTTAAAAATTTGATAAACCTATGACATTTATTCCTGATTTTCTATCATGTCTTTAGTAAGCCAGTTAGATTTAATTTACATGTTCTCCTTTTCCTCATTTTAAGAACATACCTGTCTTGAATTAACTGTAATTTTTTTTAATCTATATATATGTCCCACATCATATTTTATCTTATCCCAATTCACTAATCACAAATTTTGTCTCATGTCTTCAAAATTAGCTTTCTGAAAGAGAGGAACAAAACCTTTATTTCTTTTTATTGAACATGTAGCAATATATCAAACCTAACTATGGAATGCTCTTTCTCTCTTCCCCAAATGGTATTCATATCAACTCTTGTAATTAAATCCTCAGTAGTCATTAACAATAAATCTAAAGTGGCA